GAACTGCATTGTTGTATAATATTTCCTATGGTGCACTTATAATATTGGTATGATTTTTTTTTATTTAAATGTTCTGTTTGAAGGGGCGTGTCTGCTGTGAGACTTCAGTGTAAATGCACACTGCTGTGTTTGGCTAACATATTTGCACATGAACTAGCTAGTATTACATGTGGAGCTCTCTTGAACACTTTTAGCACGTGTTTACAATTACAGCTCTCTTTCAAGATAAAATAATCTTAAAAAGTGTTGATTATAGCTTTATATTTACAGTATTTCTCAGTCGCTTTGGTACATTTCTCGAATCTTCCACGAAACGTGCAAAACAGGCAATGCATTTCTCAAAACAATTTGTACAAATAGCAAAACCCCAATGGATTTTCTGCTAAAGTCAGTCTTTTGCTCAATTTAGTTAATCTCATCTTCTCAGAATGACAAATCCTTGTGTCATTGTGAACAGACTAGTTGCTTAGTCATGTTGTCAATATAACAGTACTCTGAAGGGATGTTCTGATTTAAACTATATGGCTAAAGTTTTGATGACAATTATTGTAAATTGTAGGTTACACACCTTGGTTTATGTGGGAGTTTGATTGCAAGAGACTGGACAAGATTCACATTTACGCTTTTACAGTTTGTACTGTAATTTGCTGACAGACCATGTCATTGCAATAGAGAAAGAAAAGAAAGTAAAAAAAAAAAAGGAGAGAGAAAAAACAAAACAAAAGGAGCAATGTGAACATAAGACAATTTCTTTAATGGAAACTGTATGCATATTATGACAACTTGTTCAACCATTTTGCATTTAAAGACTTGCTATGAACTAATGCCTACTGTACATATTGTGAGGGGTGAGACTATTCAACAGAGACCCATTATAATACAATTTAAAGGAAAGCGTCAGTTAGATGACGCGGTTAGGTTTAGGTCTGGGGTGGGGGGTAGGGTTACACGTGATCCTAGGGCGTCATCTAACTGACGCTAAAGGGCGCCTAAAGTGTCTGATATTGAAGCATGGTCAAAATGCTTCCCAAGGCGTCAGTTAGGTGAAGCCTTGGGGGTGAGAATGGGCTGTATTTTTATGACCTCTAATATGTCAAAAGTTCAAGGAAAATTGTATTTCTCAGTTCATGACCCCTTTAAATTAGGCCTTTTAAGTTTCATTAACATGCCTAAAACATGCATTTTAGTCTGGGACTAGGCTTAAGCTTTGTCAATGAAACCGGTCATATGTATGTGTACTGTATGTGTGTATATATATATATATATATATATATATATATATAGATAGATAGATAGATAGATAGATAGATAGATAGATAGATAGATAGATAGATAGATAGATAGATAGATAGATAGATAGATAGATAGATAGATAGATAGATAGATAGATAGATAGATAGATAGATAGATAGATAGAAAAACATTTGGAAAATTATGGCGTACTGGCATACTTGGCAAAACATTAACAGCTGCAATTCTCGGTTTTGAGCAATAGAATAGAATAGAATAGAATAGAAGAACTAACGCTAATTCAATGTCTGCTATTATGAGTAATTATCGTGGAACCCCAGTAGATGATACTTTGCAGTTCCTGCAACAAATTTATGTTAATGTTATGCATGTAGGCTCTGAGCATAAACTGATTTTTCTAAAACTTCTAATAGGTATCGCTGACCATCCCTCTGCTTGAATGAGTAATGAAATAAAGTCTGCCAGCGTAAGCAACACGCTCTTGGGTGGCCCATTAGAAGTCTTCAATGACAGCCGTAAAATCACCTCTAACTCCAGTTTCATCCCCCCTTCAACGAACACATTACTTTCACATTGTCAGAATCACTGTGCATATCAGATGGGGCCCCATGAGTTTTAAACCCCCATGTTAATTGCACAGCCACACAGGGGTTGATCTTAGCATTGACCGCTTTCAATTGCTCATTTATGCATTTAAGTGAAAAACATTTGCTCTGGAGAAATGGATGTATGCCTAAAATTCCTATATTGCCAGCTACCTCCTCCTCTTCTGCCTCTCTTAATAACCTTAATCAGACCAATAACGTAATGCTTTGATGAACCGAGGCAGTCGGCTCAATTACATTTTGCTGAGGTGGCCGCTTTTATAACAGAGGTGTGGGTCTGCGGGACTGCGCCCCAATCACCTGTCATCAATCAAGGAGGGAGAAATATTTGGAGATCCCTCCTAAGCTCTGACAGTTCAATGCAGCGAAGGCCAAGGTGACTCTTCTGTTTTAATTGCTTTCCCCTTTTATGACTTCATGTCTCCTGTCTCATGGGGCTGTTGCTCTCGAAAGGTTCACTTTTTTCTGGTGGCACGCTGTGCCCTGCCGGGTTGTTTGGTCCCGAAGGATGTCTGGTTGATGGACAGGTTGACATTGAGTGAGTGAATTACTTTTGCAGATAGTACATCAAGTTGCTTCTGGAAATTAATAACATTAAACGGATGAAGTTTAGACAGTTTTTGCTTGACAGATTTCAAGTTCTGTTAATTTTCAATTGATAAAAGAACACTGCATGTGACTGGGTCATTTTAGCTAAATTATCTACTTAAGGGAATGGTTTTAGATTGATCTGGTTTGAATGGGAATTGCAAATCTGGTTCAGAAGTGGACATTTTTTATGATAGTTTTCATTTTAATTTCATTTTTGGTTTTGCATCCCAATTCAGTGTAATTGCATGAAAAGTCTTTAAAATATCCCCTTTTGTGTTCCAAGGTTTAAAACAGCGTGAAGGTGTGTAAATGATGACTCAATTGTAATTGCTTGGTGAACTATTCCTTTAACAAATGCAACAGCCAGTCTAGTGTCTCTTTTGTTCTTCTCACATATTAGCATTTTGCTCAGGTACAGAAGAGAAATATTTCTCTTACACTTGCATCTTTCATTCTGCGTTTTTTAAATCTCTGTGTTTGACTCCATTCTCAGTTTTGTGGCCCTCCCCAATCCCATAATCCTTTGCTCTTTTCTCATATCTCATCTCAAAGCCCAACATTCAGTTTCTTTCTGCAATTAATTCCATAGCTCCCCGTCGTTCTTCCCGTCTCTCTTTCCTTGTGGATTTGAGCTGGTTAAATGAAAAAAAGGGGGGTTTATTTTTTTTTTCAACATTTCCTTGAATTAATTCCACATTTTTTCCCCTCTCGTTTCCTTCAAAATGCAATTAATTTAGTGCGGCAGTCTGGCATGATGGCTCTCATTAGTAAGAATGGGAAAAGTCTCTTGCTCTCAGATGATATTGCAATCAAATGTTTATGAAAATGCCACAGTGATTGTAATTAGAAGTGGATCTTTGTTGCATTGGCTTTGCCCTCTGCATGATGAAGCCTGTAGCTCGTCCTTTTGAATGTAAATTAAGGACAGGAATAGCTATAAATTCTCTATAAACCAGGAACATTGGGAAATAAATTGATAGCACCTTTCAAATTACAAATTTGATTCTACTTTATTTAATTGAAGTAGCAGACAATTGCATGAGAATTTAAAGGGGTCCTATTATGCACTTTTATGAAGTCTTGATTTTTTTGGGGTGTACTTGAATTTTTTCAAGTATTTTTTTTCATGCTTTATTGTTAAAAAATCATTACTTTTCACTAGGCTGTGCAAAGATTAATTGCCATTAATCACATCCAAAATAAAATTTTGTGTTTACATAATATGTGTGTGTGCTGTGTATGATTATTTTGCATATAGAAATACATATGCATGCATGTATATATTTAATAATTAATTATATATATATATATATATATATATATATAATATATATATATGAAGAGTTCAGATGCAAAAGCCTCTAAATGCCATTTGAAATTTTCTTCTTGAATGATGATTTTTTTTTTATCAAACTTGTTTATTTAAGTTCAGTAATTTCACTTAAATAACAATTAATAGGTAATTATCATTGCCATTTAAGTGAAATCACTGAACTTAAATATACAAGCTTGATAAAAATGATCATTCTAGAAGAAAATTTCAAATGGCACTTAGATGCTTTTGCATCTGAACTCTTCATATATATATATATATATATATATATATATATATATATATATATATACACACACAAATAACACAGCACACGTTCACGAGATCCAGCGAGAAGCGCTTGAATTCAGCGAAGAACACAAATGTCTCAGTGACTTAAACCAGTTTAAAGGCAGATGAAACAGTGCTGACAAACAGTAGAAACACTGTGCGCAACTATACAAGTAAGAAGGCTTTTACGTCTACAAATTCCCATCATTTGGCGCGGTATTTACTGTAACGTTAGCGTAGTACATTGACAGCACCCTGAAATTTGGGATATACATCATCGAATATTGAATATTATTATATTGTTAATGTAGACAATTTATTAATTGACTAATGGAATATAATTACGGTATTTCATGTATTTAGTTTAGGCTATACTGTTTTTAATTCATTTTATGAAGATACGTGCCATAAGCACATTCAGAAACTTAAAAAAAAATAATTTCCAATAAAGATATTAATTTTGTTAAAAAAAAAATTACATGTTTGAATGTTCTATATTTGTGTGAAATGTTCACTTGTTTGGCAAGTGTTTGTCATGATATGTTCTGACAATAAAGAGTAGTTTAAAACCACAATTAACCCTCTGGTTTCTACAACTTTCAGTTAGGAGCAAAAATCTTCCTTTTAACTTGAAAGAAATACAGATTTGACATTTATTGTGATTCGTGATAATTAAATAAAAATATTAGGAAAATGCAGCCTTCAGTTTATTACTCTTAAGAAAATGGAACCTTTCAATAATTAAATTCAATAAAAAATACTTTTGAAAGGAAGTTATTTTTCGTAATTTGTGTAGGTCGTAAATTTAAATCATGATGTTCATAAATTTGACTGACTAAACTCTGCAAAAACCCTAATCTGTATATCCCAACTGTTCCAATAAAACATAAATTAAGCAATATAACATGCATTTTTAATCAGTATGCAATACTTTGCTTTTTATGTTAAAGACACTATTGAGACATAGGCCTGGAGGCCGAGGTGCAGCCAGGGACTGGTGAAAGGCAAGCCTGAGGCAGAGCTGAAGAGCCGCACTGAGCTAGCCGACAACACCAGTGGAGCCGGTGGATTCAAGTGGCTGGATGGAACCAGCGAAGTCAGTTGGGAACATTGGAAGAGGAAGATTTCCGGATGGAACCGAACAGCCTGGTCTCATTGTTAATACGTAGCTATTTTACGTTTTTGCAAAGATAGAAAACGTACTTTTTAGTACGTTTGGATAGATGCTGAAACGTATAATATAGACGTATCTGCAACATTTAAACGTAACATTATTACGTTTTTACAGCTACAAAACGTAAACTATTTACGTATATTCTATATCATAAAGATATATGGATAATTTCCCTTTTACTATTTTATAGATAAATGTAAGATCCCGTAACCCTAATCCCAAACCTAAACATACCCATTTTATACTTAATGTAAAAAAGGATAAAACGTAACAGACAGGTGTTGGGAAAGGGCAGTTTTATTAACAATATAGCATTAAAATATATTTTGAGACACCAATCCTACTCCTACCCCTAAACCTACCATAACAATTCCTTAAAACTACGTAAAAAACTACAATTATGAAGAAAAACATAACTAACAGACAAGTATAATCACAATAATTTATTTATTGCGAAAATGTCAAAACCGATACCAAAAGCCGTTCACATGATGAAGCGTTGCAGTCGCAGTCTTCTCTCTGGCAGTATTGTAATAGTTTTGTATGAAGTACAGAGCAGAAATTAAATTACTAATGAAAATGTTAATCCGGCTTGGTTCGCGCTTCTCCATTTCAAATTCAAATGAACTAAACTAACCAACCGTCTACAGTCCTTCATGTCGCAAACTGTGACGAAGCAGGGAAGAGCCAATGAACGTTTGATATCGCTGCCGTAAAAGATGACGTATGGGCGCAATATTTGAATTTGAATTCATCACCAGCGCGGGGTTTGACTTTGACTTGTAACGTTACGGTCGCTGCTGAGAATGGAGATCTGGATAAGAGGCTGAAATCGCTGAATTAGGAGTTGTTTCTTGCAAACAACTATGGATTCTAAAGATTTGGATTACATCAAACTATTAAAATTGATGTCTTTTGTGAATTTTTGTTGTGTTTTATAGGAGAAAACGCTTTATGTGTCTCAAGGTAAATAAACTATTACAAAATGGTTGAACGAGTAACGTTAAAGAATGTATTTTTAAAGGTTTTATAGTGTATTGTTTAACACCATGCAGGCGAAACGAGCAAAATGTTAATATTTATGAGTATTATATCAATAATGCGACTGAAAACTTCATTAATAAGACAGTGGGATGCAATAGAGTCAAAACATAATGCTACGATATTAATATGCATAAATTGTGATACGTACAATGTGTACGTCGGTGGATTTGTTCATACGTAAATAAGTTACGTTTTTGTGCTGTCAATACGTAAATATTTTACGTTTTAGTACTGTAAATACGTCAGTATTATACGTTTCTGCGCATATAAAACGTAATTATATATACGTATGATAGAACGACACTTTACGTACACATACATACGTATTCTCATGAGATCACGTTGAACCGAAGCATCCAGATAGCCGGATAGGACCGACGGATAAGGCGAAGGATCGAGGGAGGGAACTGTATCCGCCGTCCACAGATCGGCTTGGCAGAGGTCGACTTGGCAGATCGACTCGCTCTTTGAGATGGACTAAGCAGTGCGCACAAACTCCGGGGGATTGATGGTGGCCGGCTCTGGGACAAGTTTGGTAGGTGCCTCGGGCACTCAGGCTGTAAGGGAGAGGAGGACATCGTGCCACAGCATCCAGCCCAAATACAGCTCATTCCGGTTCTCTGGGAGGAGGAAAAGGAGGCACATTGGTGAGTCAATTTTTAAACTTCATAGGTTCTGTGGTCTGTCACAGTAGGCCTTTTCTGATCTCTAATTCGAAGGAACACTCACAATAAAACATCAACAACACGGAACAATGAGCAAACAAACAGGAAGTATGAGAGGGGACTAAACATGAACAGCTGAACTGAATGAAAACTAATATGTAGCCATGGGGAAAACAAATTAATGCAGGCACGACAGGAACTAACCGAACATCATCTTGACAGTATAAATGGGTCTTAAAATATAGGTCTGCCTTTATAAAAAAGATCATTAAATTTGTCAGTCATTGTCATAAAAAAACAAAAAAACAAACAAACTACAAACAAATCTAGATGACCCACAAACCACAGTTTGGGCAGCTTTGATAAGGGTGACACTTTACAATATTTTAAGAGACATTAGCAAATAAGCAAGGATTACAAAGTCGCAGGAAGAAAAACATGAGCACAGCTGTTCAGGTGTGTTCTCTGTGCTTTCTCTCTCAGAGGCTTCTCCCACACTGGTGCTCAGTCTGGTAGGTGTGATGGACAGATTCCGTGGAGATAAGACTACGCTCTTATGCGTATGCTCTTAACCCCTTCAGAGGGGATGTCAAATTTCTGAGCTGTGCGTGAAACAGATTTTAGAGAGAGAGAGAGATTTCTGACGGTGATCAAATTGTTTGCTTGACGAGCGGTGGCTGGGAGGGCTATACAGACTACTGTGAAGGTAAAACTGTGGGTGTTCAATTTGTTTTTTGGAAGTCTTTTTAAAGTCACCATGAAAACAACATTGGCAAAAGTCGTATTTTTTTTAATGGAACATTACTGTATTTATTACAGCGGGATCATTGTGCCCTCATAATCCTGAACCAAAATAGCTTCCCCTCCCTTTTGCAGCAACATCTCTTCTCTGATAATGTGTTTAATGGTGTCAGGGTGGGGCATCCTGTCACTCACGTGAGGTCACAGAAATAGCAAACCACAACAATCCAATCAATTTGACAAAATCAAGTCCCGCCCTACATTTGTTCTTGTTCGAGAAGCTGTTTCACTCGAATATGCACCACAATTGGGAGGAAAAAACTATCGCAACTTCCTTTTCATTCATTTAAGCACCAGATTCCTTTCGAAATTCTTCACTGTCTTGTATTAGCAGGATCTTAAAGAATTGCCTTAACGATATTTTGTGTCACAAAAACAACCACATTGGTTCTAATGATCTAGGTTATATAATGGACTAAACTGTTGTTAAAATTGATAACCATAACAACCTTAAAAAGTATTTATTTGTTGTAAGATAAACTAATCCAGCTGATAAACGACACCATCAAACCCTTCATCTCTTTTAAAGCTCATTGTTTCCTGCAAGTGGTGAAATATCAGTTGTTCATGGGATATTTAGCAGGTTTCATGACTGAAAGCTTACCTGCCTTTTAAGGAGATTTCTTATTTCTCATAATTGGATGAGCTCTGTCTGGAAAAATGGATGAGAGGCTGCAGAGCGTGTTAAGCAAGCCTAAGCCAACAAGAATTACAGATGCATGCTTGAAATAATTGAAAGCAAAGTATTTTTTGAAAGTGTAATCAATGGTCTTTGTTTTTTAATTGGGAAAGATCAATTTAAGAGCTTTAGGGGAAATGTTTCCCCTGGAGGGAGGAAATCAAGTCCGATGGATTTAGTGTTGTATGCAAAAAAAAAAAAAAAAAAAAAAAAAAATCCTATCGCTCACTGAATACATAGTTGAAATTTTAAGACTTCCAACTTCATGAAGATATTTTGTTATACTGTTCAAAAGTTTGGGGTCGATTTGGTTTTTTAAAATGTTTTTGAAAGACATCTCATTTATTTGATAAACATAATATTGTGAAATATTAGTACAATTTAAAAGACATTTTTGAATTTTCATATTTAAAAAACAAAACAAAACAATCAGCATTATTACTCAGTTCTTCAGCATCACATGATCATCAAGAAATCATATTAAAATGACAATTCGGTGCTCAAAAAACATTTATTATTATCATTATTGAAAACAATAAGTTGTGCTTTTTAATTTTTTTTGTTGAAACTGATACATTTTTAATAGATTTATTTGAAAATGTTTTTTTTTGTTACAATGAAAAATTCTTTACTGTCATTTTTGATCAATTTGATGCATTCATGCTTTATAAAAGTAACAATTTCTTTAAAAAATCTTACTAAAATCTTTTTTTTAATTAATTACTTCAGATTTCTTATTTAAAACAATAATTTCATGACATTATTTAAATTCTATTAAATTCAAAATGCATCTGTGTCTGTGTGTGTGTGTGCGCAAAATTAGTCTCCCTAAATGCAGTTATTCAGGGTATATGCCACTTCAAATGCAACTTTTGTGCGGCTCACTGCAGTATAGAGAAGGCAATAAATAATGATTCAAAATTCATTATCAGTGGCATGGTCTTCACTCTCCATCCTATTCTCAAACCCTCATACCTTCCAAGTTTTTTTTTGAACAAAGTTGACCAGCCAAAGAGTAGACTGAGTGAGATGAGTTGTCTTTTTATCAAGGATGTCTGAGAGGGAGATAAAGCACAGAACACACTGTACCTCCACACACTTTTAAAAATGACACTGTGCCACAGCCCACGTCTCTCACACTCAATACCCTCCTGCATCTATTGTGCAATTAAAGGTGCTTTGCTCAATCCCTACGTTACCAGGGTCATGTGCTATAAACGACATGTGTCTGAGCTGCCTGCGAAGATTGATTGATTTATATTTTTGTTGCAGAAATTTTAGGGCACCTAGATTTTGTTCTCTTTGGACTCTTTGGACTAAAACTCTCAGGGAAATAAGTTCCCCTGAAATAGAACTTTTGGAAGAATGGAACATAAATCTGAGATATGGTCCATAAAGTGGGCATTTATGTATATGTAAAAGTGTTTTATATTTTATTACATTATAAATGTAATAAAATACCCCCCCCCCCCCCAAGAGGTCAATATTAATTTTAGTCCATTTTTTTTTGTGCCACATCTTATCATTTTCTCATCATCATGTTTCCCAAGTCTGCTTTATATTATGTCAGACTATGAGTGTGTGGGATTGTATTGGTTTTTCAGTTGATAAAAAAAAAAAAAAAAAAAAAAAAACACTCAAATTTGCGTTTGAGAAGTGTGAGAAGAGCCGGTATTCAAAGTCTTTATAAAGAAACAATAACACTAGACATAGACTGTTTAAACATTATTTATTAAGCTTGACAAGTAAAACAAAGCTTGTCCTTCACTTT